GCCATTGTTTTGAGAGGGTCCCTGCACAAAGCAAACCTTAAAAGTTGCTCCGGTGTCCATGTTGGCTTGGGGAGGACGAGGAAACGGGGGAAACGCCCAACTTCAAACCACCCAAATCATGGGAAAAGACCAGGACGCACTTGCCTACTTTGGGGAAAACAAGTGCTGAGGGCCTAATGGGTTTGTCTCCGAATAATGAACGCCTAAAATATATCTCACCCGCCTGCCAAAAGGGTACCAACTAAAAACGAATGTTTGAGGTTCAATATAGTCTAGTCAATCCTGAGATTGAACCTTAAGCCTGTTGAGCAGGTTGCGGGGGGGCTGAAGGCCTGCGTCAGGGCTCGCTGCTAGCTGGCTGCATGGCAACTTGCGATCTCACAGCCAGGCACTTCTAGGATCGGTCCAAGGGGAACTTTCAAGGACCCGGCCGTTTCTGGCGATCTGACCAAGTCAAGCTAGTTGAAATCGGGACACAAGGAAACCAAGGTAGGCTAAATCAGTGCAAATCATACACAAACTGCATGTGCAAAGTGAGCAAGGGATGAAAGGACATGTCTCGCCTTCTCGCCAAAAAAAAACGAAGGCTCAGTCCAACGCGTTTGCCGAGCATCTCTTGGAGTCGGCGCTTTGCCAACAGCTCCTCTGCAGATTCGCCGTGGCCGGGGTCATGCTGCTTTGCACCTCACCAAAGCGAGGGCCTCTTTGTGTCAAAAAACCCTAGTCTGAACATTTGGGCCTGCATACGCGTGTTGCACCCAAATCGATCAACCCCAGTTTATGAATAAGGGGGCATCCCTGGGTTTAGTGGGGAATCAGACCACTTTTGGAGGGGAACACCCCCCTAGTAAACTGGGGTTGATCAATAGGGGGTCAACATTACAGCAAATTCTACAGGCACCCCCTTGCGTTGGTTGGTATTTGGCTCACTTCCTCTCGAATTGTCAGTGGCCGGCTTCTAAATTCCAGTTTGGCGATCAAGCTGGACAAGGTTCCAAAGCCTTCACACCAACATCCAACAAATGTCGGTTGCCTTTTGTTGCGCACGGGGTACACGAGAAACAACCCGTGGTTCCATGCCATATGTGGCCAAAAGAGCCAGTCAATAGGGAGCTACATGTTTCCGGGGAACTCCAATAGGGGGAACCCAAGCTTTGAGGACTCCACCAAAATACGACAGGTGCGAAGGGGATGTCACAATTAAGGGACACCAAGATCCATTTTGGGGTCCCCTACAAAAAACAAACCCAAGCAGGCTCCTGAACTACCATGTCCGTCAGGACTCCTGGTAGCTGCTTAGCTCCCTCTTTGTTGGCAAAATTGCATGCCTTGGCTCCCTTCCAACCACCAGCTACTGAAAGGACAGCTTTGCGGGTCCGGACACTGCAGCTGAGGCGCATCTACTCCCGCGGCTTTCGCCATCTTCCCCACTTGCCCCCCTCGGCCGGCCGAAAACGCTTCCGAAAAGCAAAGGCTCCAGGACTGGTTCTGCAAAATTTACAATAATTCCGAAAACTGAAAATAGATTAGGATCCACAAGTACCGGCTCTTTACCATGCTCGTTTTAGCCCCGAATTTGTCAGCTTGCCATACACATACGCAGACTGGTTGGAGGCCAAATCCGCTTGACCCAAAAAAATACTCTTTGCTCTGGGGAATGGGACACATGTTGGCCGTCGTTTTTTGCCTTTGGTCCTCCATTTGCTTAAGTCCCCTGGAAAAAAAAAATCCAGTAGTGCTAGATTCCCTTTAAAACCAACAGGGGGTATTCTTAGCCAAATGGACGTTCTGCGGGATTTACATTGGCACCGTGCCGGCCAACTCCACCGGGCCTCGCCCGCTTTTCCGGCTCGTTGCCGGAGGCCTGAGGATGTCCGGAAGGTCAGGTTCCATGGGAGGGCGCTTACTCCCTCTGTCCAACCAGAGTCAATTGAGTCACAATCAAAACCGATCGGTACTAAAATGCTGAACCCAGAATGTACAGAATTAAGGCGGCCGCGATTTCCGGCTGGGACTGCCCCTTAACCTTCATCTACCCAGGTTTTGATTGTGGCTCAATTCAACCTTGGAAAGGGCAGACATGCCGACATTAGGACTCAAAAGCGTATGGAAGATATGGTACTCAATATTCAGCAGGGAGCCCAGACCAGGGACCCCCTTTGAAGTTGCATACGTATTCCGTTGGAGTTACCAGCCTCCCGACTTGGTTGGTGCACCGATACGAGTCGATCCGGCTTCAAACCTTTCGGCTCACGGGAACATTCAGAGTGCGGTCCCTCCCGACCCAGTTTGAGGAAACCCAGATGTAGATTATAAAGCCCAATGTGGCATGGCCAAAGCGTTGCAGGGCAGGCTGATAACAAACGAGGAATGGCCCGTCCCATTGCTTAACAACCATCCGGATACCCTGGATTCGTTCGGAAAAGAAGCACAGGGTCCAACCCCCTCCCCATTCCCTACCCGCTGTTTTCTCAAAAGACCGCAACAAGGCCAGAAGGCCTCCGGGAAGGGGTGCTGGTTGGATCCTGCGAAGGATCCTCGAGTGGATGGCCCAAGTAAAGAAACCACTAAAATTGTCCAAACACGAAAAGTGAATAAAGTCCCAAACAGAACTCGCGAAGTGAGCACAGAAACTCATGGGCCACGTCCGAACTGCGCAGTGGAACTCGATGGCATTGGAGGTGTGGGTGAAAAGGGATGACCAAACCACGGAACCAACATGGGGAAATAACAACTTTCGTCCAACTGCACCTAGGCTATCAGAAAAATTGCCCAAACCCAAACAACATCCAGAAGCTGGATGTAGGCGAACTCATCTTCACCACAACTGGCAACCAAAAGGTGATGTTTTAACCAGGACCAGCACAAGTGGATTTCCATGAACAACAAATGACTTTTTCTTGGTCCTTGAATTATGGGAAACCTGTTCAAACCAAATGGTTGCGAAACGCTTTTGGGTTGGTACTTCTTATTTGTGGCAAAGGGAAACCAACAAGACAACCGTTGCGCCCTTTTAGGGCACTAAAACAGGGGCCGCTGGATATCGGATTCCCCTTCAAGAGTTGCAATTAACTCATAAAAATGTGACAAGTCTAGCTGATTTCGCACCACGGGCCGATCAACCCACCCAAGTAGGTTGTAGCCAGCATGTCCGCCACCCTCTGCTGTCTCCACTGTTCTAAGTTATAGGTTATAGGTGTCAAAAAGGGGATTGGACGCCCAATGGCTGTCCTTGCGGCTTTCCTCACCAACCTCATAAGGGTACCGAGCCTCAAACAAACTTCGCATCTCCGGAGATTCGCGCCTCAGGCACTAAGGGGCTCCTCAGCGCGCGGAATGGCGGGCATGAATCTGGGGTGCTGAATGGATTGCGGGGGGGGTGGGAGATTGACAAATGATAAATCCCCTGGTGGTTTCGCTTTGGTAACTTTCAAACATATCGGCTATTTGGTGGGAATGCGCACGGCACACGTTGCGCTTTTCCATGCTTTTCTGGGGTCCCTTAAACTGCACACTTGGAGAATTCTCAAGATTGCATTTGGTTTCCGTGTAAGAAACCCGTCAAGCAAATTTACAGGCTAAGATTGAGACATATCGCTTCAATGGACCCATCTTTCGGCGTAAGCTTTACTGCAATTTTGAGGCCCACACGCCACCCCCCCTCCAAACCACATCTCTTAGGGCAATAACGATAAAATAGTGGGCCCCTTGTTGCTCCGACTGAAGGGGCATGTACGCATGCCACTGGAAAGCTCACATGTACCAAAAGCGGGGAAAAGCAAACTCCAGTTGCCCGTGTCCCCGGCAGAAAAACGTGAACCCCCTCTGGCTTGATCATTTTTAGTGAGGAACCCAGCCAATCAAAGGGGCAAAGGGTGCCACAACACCCGGTTTCCCGGATTTCCGCGAACGGCTGACCCTTGATGCACCTGGCCGGCTTCTTCAGCGACCCTTATTAATGATCATAGCTGTTCTGGACAAGCCACGAGCACAATCAAACGGTGAGCTTGCCACGGAGGCAACATGTTTGGCTCCTTGCAGTTTCCTGTCCGGACTCTTGGCAAATTAGAACGGTTCCCCAATCTGGAAACAAGCTGACCCCCCCCCCCCCCGTACAGGATCTTCATGACTGAGCTCATTTTACAACTTCATGAGCCGGTCATATTTTTCCTGAGGCATTCACCGCTTAGTTTGGACCCTCTACCTGCCTCGACCCACCACGTTGTGTCAAGGACGGCAGAGTCATGCTCCCTCCAAGAGCGTGTCAGCCTACCGCTTTGCCGTGCTGCAACACATGCAGCGAGTGGGTCAGCATCTGCACGAAGTAGCGCCCAGGGATCCACAAGCAAAAAGGCCTTGGGGCCCGGAATCGCTGAACTCTGGGCCTGTACATTTCAGGGGAACTCGTTTCCCACACCGCCCACCAGCCGAGTCTCTCGGAATCCACTGGATCCATGTGACTCCATTGCGTGGCTCACGCCCGGGGCTTGGCTTTGAGCCGAAAATGGGTCATCCCCGCTCGCCCGAAGGATGTGCCCTCTTTCCACTGGCGCAACGTGGAACTCTCCTCAGTTGCCCTCATTGGACCTAGGGATAAAAAAGCAAAACGTTCACCTGTTGGGGCCGCGAAAAAAACAAAAGGAAACTCAAAGGTCAGTTACACAGGGGCCATTGGATTTCCCCCTAAGTCGATCAATTTACTGCCCAGTAAAACTGCGTTTGGAGATTCTAAAAGGGGAAATGGCTCGGAAGCCAAGCCTGGGTGAGGGATGATTCTTTTGATAAAGGTTGGCCCCCGAACCAAACATTTCCCCTCAAGTCGATCAATATACTCGTGTCCATTAAAACTGCCGAAGGTTTTGAAGCTTCTACTAGGTCCTCCAGTAGAGAGGTTAGAATAAGGGTACTCTTTTTTTCTGTAGTCTGTTTTAGTGTGCAAAAGGAGACTACTGGCAAACCTAGTCTAACGTTGGCCATGGCCGAAAGCGAAAGTGCCCCGCCTCAAAGCGCTGCCCTGCTCACGGAAGTCCGCGGAGGCGGAGGCCGGTGTGCCGCACAGCACCTGGCGCTTGCGCTTGGCACCCAGGCCGCACAAGCGGGAGCCCGGGAAATCGAAGGGGAAGAAGAAGACACGAGATCCATCCATACTGTAGATGGTTGCGAATTCCGAACTCCCAAATCCGATCCGCACCACTTGGAAACCATTCAAATTATGGTTGGTGGGTATTTACAGGGGAATCAACAAAACCAGGGCTTCTTAGGTGGTGAGAAATGGATTTCGTCCATCCACTGTAGCTCTGATTTTGAGAATTTGGTGGACATCCAGGACCCCCCAATGGCTGGATAACCCCAAAACAGCCTTGGGAGGTCATTCCACTGGGGGGGGGGGGTCCTCAGACCTCTTTTGCAGCCTGTTAATAAACGTGGGCTGATTAATATGGGGTCAGCAAGAGAGAAAGCTTTGGTGGACATCATAAGTTGGTAAGACTGTTTTGGACAGAATGTGGTGGCTCATGTGCCACTTGCAAGGCCCAAGATTCAAAGCCACACGGGCTGACGAGTGAACTGTTGTAGCCTACGTTGCCACCCACAACTCGCTACTCAAGCGCATGACAATGTTAATTGCCACCAACCACCAGTACAAAGCCATGATCTCATGCAAGCTCCATGTTTTGACCGTCCCAAGGTAGGCTAAAACCCGCAGAAGTTTGCTTCAGAGCGGCCGTTGAAGTGGCACCGCAAATTTCACCTTTCAGAGAGCTTGTGAAAGCTAAACCACCTTGAAACTCAAGGGTTGAAGCTCGGTTCCCCGAACCATATACAGCCAACGGGGGCCGTGGAACTGAGGCATCCGGACTTGGCCCAAATTTGATCCGAAGCAGAACTTACAGGGCCCAACTTACGGGCCGCGTTTTTTTTCTTCACCGTATCAACGTCACCCCCATTGGTAGGTGAAAGGGAAACAGCTTCTGACTTTGATAACCCCCTTAGAAACAATCAGACTAATGAATCCAAGCCACCAATCCAAGCCACCAATCCAAACCACCAATCCAAACCAGCAATCCAAGCCACCAATCAAAGCCACCACTCCAAGCCACCAATCCAAACCAGCAATCCAAACAATCAATCCAAATCACCAATCCAAACCACCAATAAAAAACCACCAACCCAAGCCACCAACCCAAACCACCAATCCAAACCATCAGTCCAAGCCACCAATCAAAGCCACCACTCCAAGCAACCAATCCAAGCCACCAATCCAAACCATCAATCCAAATCACCAATCCAAACCACCAATAAAAACCACCAACCCAAGCCACCAACCCAAACGACCAATCCAAACCAGCAATCCAAGCCACCAATCAAAGCCACCACTCCAAGCCACCAATCCAAGCCACCAATCCAAACCACCAGTCCAAACCAGCAATCCAAACCACCAATAAAAACCACCAACCCAAGCCACCAACCCAAACCACCAATCCAAACCATCAGTCCAAGCCACCAATCAAAGCCACCACTCCAAGCAACCAATCCAAGCCACCAATCCAAACCATCAATCCAAATCACCAATCCAAACCACCAATAAAAACCACCAACCCAAGCCACCAACCCAAACCACCAATCCAAACCAGCAATCCAAGCCACCAATCAAAGCCACCACTCCAAGCCACCAATCCAAGCCACCAATCCAAACCACCAGTCCAAACCAGCAATCCAAACCACCAATAAAAACCACCAACCCAAGCCACCAACCCAAACCACCAATCCAAACCAGCAATCCAAGCCACCAATCAAAGCCACCACTCCAAGCCACCAATCCAAACCACCAATCCAAACCATCAATCCAAATCACCAATCCAAACCACCAATAAAAACCACCAATCCAAACCATCCAGTCTAAGCCACCAATCAAAGCCACCACTCCAAGCAACCAATCCAAGCCACCAATCCAAACCACCAATCCAAACCATCAATCCAAATCACCAATCCAAACCACCAATAAAAACCACCAATCCAAGCCACAAAACCCAAACCACCAATCCAAACCATCAGTCCAAGCCACCAATCAAAGCCACCACTCCAAGCCACCAATCCAAACCACCAGTCCAAGCCACCAGTCCAAGCCACGAACACAAACCACCAATAAAAACCACCAACCCAAGCCACCAACCCAAACCACCAATCCAAACCAGCATCCAAGCCACCACTCCAAGCCACCACTCCAAGCCACCAATCCAAACCATCAATCCAAATCACCAATCCAAACCACCAATAAAAACCACCAACCCAAGCCACCAACCCAAACCACCAATCCAAACCACCAATCCAAACCATCAATCCAAATCACCAATCCAAACCACCAATAAAAACCACCAACCCAAGCCACCAACCCAAACCACCAATCAAACCAGCAATCCAAGCCACCAATCAAAGCCACCACTCCAAGCCACCAATCCAAACCACCAATCCAAACCATCAATCCAAATCACCAATCCAAACCACCAATAAAAACCACCAACCCAAGCCACCAACCCAAACCACCAATCCAAACCAGCAATCCAAGCCACCAATCAAAGCCACCACTCCAAGCAACCAATGCAAGCCACCAATCCAAACCATCAATCCAAATCACCAATCCAAACCACCAATAAAAACCACCAATCCAAACCATCAGTCCAAGCCACCAATCAAAGCCACCACTCCAAACAACCAACCCAAGCCACCAATCCAAACCACCAATCCAAACCATCAATCCAAATCACCAATCCAAACCACCAATAAAAAACCACCAACCCAAGCCACCAAGCCAAACCACCAATCCAAACCATCAGTCCAAGCCACCAATCAAAGCCACCACTCCAAGCAACCAATCCAAGCCACCAATCCAAACCACCAATCCAAACCATCAATCCAAATCACCAATCCAAACCACCAATAAAAACCACCAATCCAAGCCACCAACCCAAACCACCAATCCAAACCATCGATCCAAATCACCAATCCAAACCACCAATCCAAACCATCAATCCAAATCACCAATCCAAACCACCAATAAAAACCACCAATCCAAGCCACAAAACCCAAACCACCAATCCAAACCATCAGTCCAAGCCACCAATCAAAGCCACCACTCCAAGCCACCAATCCAAACCACCAGTCCAAGCCACCAGTCCAAGCCACGAACACAAACCACCAATAAAAACCACCAACCCAAGCCACCAACCCAAACCACCAATCCAAACCAGCAATCCAAGCCACCACTCCAAGCCACCACTCCAAGCCACCAATCCAAACCATCAATCCAAATCACCAATCCAAACCACCAATAAAAACCACCAATCCAAGCCACCAACCCAAACCACCAATCCAAACCATCAGTCCAAGCCACCAATCAAAGCCACCACTCCAAGCAACCAATCCAAGCCACCAATCCAAACCACCAATCCAAACCATCAATCAAATCACCAATCCAAACCACCAATAAAAACCACCAATCCAAGCCACCAACCCAAACCACCAATCCAAACCATCAGTCCAAGCCACCAATCAAAGCCACCACTCCAAGCAACCAATCCAAGCCACCAATCCAAACCATCAATCCAAATCACCAATCCAAACCACCAATAAAAACCACCAATCCAAGCCACCAACCCAAACCACCAATCCAAACCATCAGTCCAAGCCACCAATCAAAGCCACCACTCCAAGCAACCAATCCAAGCCACCAATCCAAACCATCAATCCAAATCACCAATCCAAACCACCAATAAAAACCACCAATCCAAGCCACCAACCCAAACCACCAATCCAAACCATCAGTCCAAGCCACCAATCAAAGCCACCACTCCAAGCAACCAATCCAAGCCACCAATCCAAACCACCAATCCAAACCATCAATCCAAATCACCAATCCAAACCACCAATAAAAACCACCAATCCAAGCCACCAACCCAAACCACCAATCCAAACCATCGATCCAAATCACCAATCCAAACCACCAATCCAAACCATCAATTAGTTAAAGCGTACCTGATTGGAGATTCCATTGCCGAATTGGTGCTTTAGATTGGTGGTGTTCAAGGAGGGGTTTCCCACTTACCCTCCCAGGGATTCAAATCCCCAAAACATAAATCCAAACAACCAATCCAACCACTACTTAAAGCGTAATTGGAGGTTCCCGTTTAGAAGAAATGGCGATCGGAATCGCCAGCGGAGGCTCAGCAAGCCTAAAGTCCCGGCCTCCCAGGCAGTCTTCAGCGTCACCGGCACCCCTGTCACTGCGCTGCCGGAGAAGACGTCCGGCCTGCGCCGTGAGAAATTAGAAGCAAGGGGCCTTGACGATGTGGGGACCCAAATGTCTGATGCACAAATCCATGTTTTGATTTATACATGTCTTAGTTATTTCTACACACACATGCATCTACAAATGTAATATATGCACAGTTTGTTTTCTAGCATTTGTGCCGCAAAAACTATTTCTGCTTGCATATGTGCTGGCATTTTGGGGGCAGTGCAAAAGGGTGGCCCTTTAAAACCACCCCAGAGGAAATATTGGGACGTCGGTGGACGTCTTTCGTGAAGTGCCTTAGGGCATTGCTGCCCAGGAAGCGCCGGGCAGGGCGCTTCAAGGGCGGGGGGGGGGGGGGTAAGAGGGAAGAGTATGTATAATGTGCCGGGGAGAGGTCTGAATTTGGTAGGAATGAAATTGCAGATATTACAAATTAATTTGTAGGGTAAAGAAAATATTCTCCAAAAAAACATTTTTTTACAAATTTTACAAATTCTAGTCTGAGAAATTCGCTTCCAGGGGAATTTGGTAGGAATTAAATTACAAATTTTACAAATTTTACAAATTAATTTGTAAAATTTGTAAAATATCAAAAAAATCTGGCCCAAAATTACAAATTTTACAAATTTTACAAATTCGAGTCTGAGAAATTAGCCTCCAGGGGAATTTGGTAGGAATTAAATTACAAATTTTACAAATTTTACATATTTTACAAATTAATTTGTAAAATTTGTAAAATTTTAAAAAAATCCGGCCCAAAATTACAAATTTTACAAATTTTACAAATTCGAGTCTGAGAAATTAGCTTCCAGGGGAATTTGGTAGGAATTAAATTACAAATTTTACAAGTTTTACAAATTTTACAAATTAATTTGTAAAAGTTGAAAAAAATATCAAAAAATCCGGCCCAAAATTACAAATTTTACAAATTTTACAAATTAATTTGTAAAATTTGTAAAATATCAAAAAAATCTTGCCCGAAATTACAAATTTTACAAATTTTACAAAATCGAGTCTGAGAAATTAGCTTCCAGGGGAATTTGGTAGGAATTAAATTACAAATTTTGCAAATTTTACAAATTTTACAAATTTTACAAATTAATTTGTAAAATTTGTAAAATATCAAAAAAATCTGGCCCGAAATTACAAATTTTACAAATTCGAGTCTGAGAAATTAGCTTCCAGGAGAATTTGGTAGGAATTAAATTACAAATTTTACAAATTTTACAAATTTTACAAATTATACAAAATTTGTAAAATTTCAAAAAAATCCGGCCCAAAATTACAAATTTAATTTGTAAAATTTGTAAAATATCAAAAAAATCTGGCCCGAAATTACAAATTTTACAAATTTTACAAATTCGAGTCTGAGAAATTAGCTTCCAGGGGAATTTGGTAGGAATTAAATTACAAATTTTACAAATTTTACAAATTTTACAAATTAATTTGTAAAATTTGTAATTTTGGGCCAGATTTTTTTGATATTTTACAAATTTTACAAATTAATTTGTAAAACTTGTAATTTTGGGCCGGATTTTTTTGAAATTTTACAAATTTTACAAATTAATTTGTAAAATTTGTAAAATTTTTAAAATTTGTAAAATTTGTAATTTAATTCCTACCAAATTCCCCTGGAAGCTAATTTCTCAGACGCGAATTTGTAAAATTTGTAAATTTTGTAATTTCGGGCCAGATTTTTTTGATATTTTACAAATTTTACAAATTAATTTGTAAAATTTGTAATTTTGGGCCGGATTTTTTTGAAATTTTACAAATTTTACAAATTAATTTGTAAAATTTGTAAAATTTGTAATTTAATTCCTACCAAATTCCCCTGGAGGCTAATTTCTCAGACTCGAATTTGTAACATTTGTAAAATTTGTAATTTTTGGCCAGATTTTTTTGATATTTTACAAATTTTACAAATGAATTTGTAAAATTTGAAAAATTTGTAATTTTGGGCCGGATTTTGAAATTTTACAATTTTTACAAATTAATTTGTAAAATTTGTAAAATTTGTAATTGAATTCCTACCAAATTCCCCTGGAAGCTAATTTCTCAGACGCGAATTTGTAAAATTTGTAAAATTTGTAATTCTGGGCCAGATTTTTTTGATATTTTACAAATTTTACAAATTAATTTGTAAAATTTGTAAAATTTGTAATTTTGGGCCGGATTTTTTTTGATATTTTGCAAATTTTACAAATTAATTTGTAAAATTTGTAAAATTTGTAATTTAATTCCTACCAAATTCCCCTGGAGGCTAATTTCTCAGACTCGAATTTGCAAAATTTGTAAATTTTGTAATTTCGGGCCAGATTTTTTTGATATTTTACAAATTAATTTGTAAAATTTGTAATTTTGGGCCGGATTTTTTTGAAATTTTACAAATTTTACAAATTAATTTGTAAAATTTGTAAAATTTGTAAAATTTGTAATTTAATTCCTACCAAATTCCCCTGGAAGCTAATTTCTCAGACTCGAATTTGTAAAATTTGTAAAATTTGTAATTTCGGGCCAGATTTTTTTGATATTTTACAAATTTTACAAATTAATTTGTATAATTTGTAAAATTTGTAAAATTTGTAATTTAATTCCTACCAAATTCCCCTGGAGGCTAATTTCTCAGACTCGAATTTGTAAAATTTGTAAAATTTGTAATTTTGGGCCAGATTTTTTTGATATTTTACAAATTTTACAAATTTTACAAATTAATTTGTAAAATTTGTAAAATTTGTAATTTTGGGCCGGATTTTGTTGAAATTTTACAAATTTTACAAATTGATTTGTAAAATTTGAAAATTTGTAAAATTTGTAATTTAATTCCTACCAAATTCCCCTGGAAGCTAATTTCTCAGACGCGAATTTGTAAAATTTGTAAAATTTGTAATTCTGGGCCAGATTTTTTTGATATTTTACAAATTTTACAAATTATTTTGTAAAATTTGCAAAATTTGTAATTGTGGGCCGGATTTTTTTGATATTTTACAAGTTTTACAAATGAATTTGTAAAATTTGTAAAATTTGTAAAATTTGCAATTTAATTCCTACCAAATTCACCTGGAAGCTAATTCTCTCAGACTCGAATTTGTGAAATTTGTAAAATTTGTAATTTTGGGCCAGATTTTTGTTGAAATTTTACAAATTACAAATTAATTTGTAAAATTTGTAAAAATTCCAAAATTTGTAAAATTTGATTCCTACCAAATTCCCCTGGAAGCTAATTTCTCAGACTAGAATTTGTAAATTTTGTAAAATTTGTAATTTTGGGCCAGATTTTTTTGATATTTTACAAATTTTACAAATTAATTTGTGAAATTTGTAAAATTTGTAATTTTGTTCCAGATTTTTTTATATTTCACAAATTTTGCAAATTCATTTGTAAAATCTGGGAAATTTCACTTTTTACACATGTACTTGCGAAATTTGTGAAATGCTTAATTGTTAACCATATTTTTTGGAATTTGGCATAGTTCAGAAACTAATCTGCAAAATGTGTATAACTTGTAATGTAACTCCAGCCAAATCTCCCCGGAAAGCAAATTCCCCAGAGTACGTTTCAATGTCAGCAAACATCCGATTTAGAATTACAAGCTGGATTTGAACAAACATTGCTCGGGGGTTGCAAATTGCACAAGCTAGTTTGTAAAAAGTCGGTCCAGAATTACACAAATTACAAGTAAAGGTGTGAACATTGTAAACTTGATAAAACTTGATCACCGTCCTTCCCTTAACGGCTTTTTTTGGGTCAAGTTTGTTTCATTTTGAATCGGTTGAAGTTTGGTAAGGAAATGGGGAGGAAAGCATATTATCTTTTCATTTGGAATCTCTCTTTTCTGTTATTTCCATGTGTTTGTTTTTCTTTAGGATCTCGAATTCATACTCCTTTCTTTATCTTTCACTCTCTCCCCTGACCATTTCTTCCTACAATCAACTCAATAAACTAGGATGGAAAAGACAGGGATAAAGAAATAAACATAAGATAGGTAAAGGAGAGAGGACATCTTCTGTAACACGCTTCTTTTGGATAACTTTCATACCACACATACCTGATGGAGAAAGAGATGGAGAAAACCGTACAAATAGAAAGACATGGAAAGGCTACTGGGATTGTGGGATGGATTCATTTGTATCTCAGAGATTTTATCGCATACCAGGTTAGACCAATCGATGAAGGTAAGGGAAAGGGAAAGGTGTGAAAGAACAAAGAATGATTAAGAAAATCTTCCGCCCAGACATCACGCAGAATACACCAGATAGCCTGTCCGTGAGACTTGGAGAATATGATGATTGAAGCTTCCCTCACTATCCCTTTCCAGCTTGTTTTTGGGGCCTCTTCCAAATCATTGCCTGTTTCCTCTTGTCCATCCATCCTCATCCTTTATTTGCATTTATGGATGGGCAAGAAGTGACGAAAGCATTTGCAGGCAGTAATAATTACGGTAGAAAACGTAATATCCTCCCTTTCTTTTCAAAATCCTGTTTTATACAAGCTAACAACATAACAAGGGCGCGAGACAGTTATGACAAAGCTAAAGATAATTATGGGTGGTGCTTACAGAAGCTAACTAATTTATTACGTGCTAATACATGCTTCTAATCTTAAAACCATACTTACATTCCTCGTTCTTTTCTATTTTATTCTTCCCTTGTTGAGATTCATTACGCTATCTTTCTTTGTGAATGCTTTTTGCTGTCCGGTCGTCGCTGGGGCTCACCGAAAGGAAAAAAGATTATGAGTAGGTCTTCCTCATATTATTTTGCTTGTGTTTTACTATCTTTTGGACCTTTCATCCTTCCCCTTCTTCTGTTTCCCTCTTCAACCGTTGAAGAATGCCAGAAATCGAGGGGTGAAGGAAGGAGGGAGAAGCTAGCCCCCCCGTTCCTTCTTCTCCAACTGTATCGCTAGTGGGGAGAAGATAGGAAGGAGATCAACCGTTCCATCTTTACCTTTCCCTTCCCCACTACGTTCTGGAGTTCTGTCACTACGAAAGACTCACGATGGAACAGTCTAAAAGTGGGACGAAGGAAGGGGATATTGGCTTTATTTTTGGTTTTTTGTAGAAAAAGAAAGCCACTTTCCACAACCCGCTTCTTTCTGTAAAAACACAGATGGAAGAAGATGACCTTTCCTTTCCCGGCCCAGCCAACGCTTGTCATTTTCCTTGCCTTGTCTTTTACATTGCCGTGTTTTGGAAATGAAGAAGTAAAGCGTCTGGCAAGGAGGTAAGCGCCCATCAATACTAATTGAAGATAACGAATTGGATGGGCACTTACCATGTCTTTCTATCACTTCTGTCTTTCCTTTTGATGAAACTGAAGATTGAAAATGGGAAGTGAGAAGCCTCTCTTGACTTCTTCCTCAAGCATAGGCTGCTGTTAATCTTATGCCGTGTGGTGCTTGGGAATAAGAAGAAGAAGAGAAGATAGGAGAGGGTGAACAGAAGTAACGTGATTCTTTCTTTTCCTCCGATCGCATCCTGATTTTCCCATGTATGTCACCCACCAACATCTTCAACCCATAAAGATTTGACTACAGAATCCTTAAAACCTTTTTAAAAGCAAATGCTAGCGGTCTCTCTCTTTTGCTAATAATCTTCTGGAAATGAAAGGACAATAATAGAGTTTTAGATCATAGGATGGTGTAAGGACTGGGTTCTTCTCATCGTTGACGTCCTTTCCTTGTCCAAGTCACGGAGGAAGAGAGGTTGGTTTGTGGTCCCAAGAGCTTGTATCCTTCCCTTTCTATCTCTTCCACTTCATCCAGGAAACATTTGTGGATGGACATGTCGTTATTAAGATCATTGCCTTTCGGTTTACCATCCCATTTATTGCTTGAATGTCTATCTTTGTTGTCTTCCATTTACAATATTATCTGAGAAGTATAGAAATGCTTCTGGGTGTGAGGTTGAAAAAATTGGCGATGTAAAGAAAATCACGATGGTTGGAACAGACCGTTAATCATTACCAAGAATAGGTTCATAGTCTCTCATCTGCTGGTTGCATTCTCATGTACTTGTTCACTTTGCAACCTTTCTACTTGTTTATCTATCTTCCCAATCTCTCTTTCTCTCTCTCGCATTGTAAACGTTGGAGGCATCTGGATGGGGGGAAAAAAACCGGGGGGTAATAACAAATATGAAGAAGAGGAACTGGCTAACACTCCTTCTGCTCTCCCGTCTTTCGCGGCTATCAGGATTAGTAAGAATTACGATAAAGGCCTATGAAGAAACATAATAGATACATAAATAAATAAATCAATATATAGGCAAATGACAGAACCAAGAACATGAAAGTAATAAAGAATGTTAATAAATGAAACGGTTTATTGGGAGACAAATTATTCTTGTCCATCAAGAACCCTCTCCAACACAGTGAAAAACCTAGAGTGGACAATGGTGGATAGTATAGAAAACGCAATAAGATAATAAAACGCAGTAAGCTATGAGATTACAAAGATTCTGTAATTATTGCCTTTAAATTCACCCCGTGACCACTTCATCCCATTTACACAAATATATTGGAGAAGATATTAGTGCATGATGAAGAATAAACACAAATTATAACCATAGATAGTTTGCTTGACTCTGAAGAGGCTGTTGGTCTTTACTCATGGAGCTTATTTATTTGTATCCTCTTTCTGCTTTTGTTCTATTAGAATTTCCTTGCAACATCTCTCACTCACTTCCTATTTTATCCTTAGATATGTGCAATATTCTTGAGTTTTAGGTGAGAATGAAAAGGATATTAATAGTTCAAAGTTGCTGGAGAAGGACGGAACACTATTTACAAAAGGCTATTTATTTACTAGAATCTCATGAGTAATGTTAACTAATTTGTATCGATTGGGGTGTATTTCTCACCTTCTCTTTTAAGGGGTTTCCTTTTGCCTCCCAAGCTAATACTTGTCAAATCCTACTGAATCAATCTTCATTAATAAAATCATGTTCATCGCTAGAAGTGACCGAAGGAAGTTAATAGTTTTCTCATCAGAATATTGCCTGTCCAAATAGAGTGATGAATGAAGAGACGCTTAACTGTTATTATTGCTTTAAGTGACGTCTCACGGACAGGCTACGTCTCCAGACCCTTTTTTATATCTCTCTGATTGTTCTTTCCTTTTATGTTTGTTTGACCAGCATTTGTTTACCATTTACTTCTTCCTCACTGACATTCGATCTTCTCTAACTCTGTTATCTGTTACTGTGGCTTTAATCATTTGGTTAACATTTTCCTCTTTCCATTTCCATGCTCTATCTTGGTGAGCTAGCAAACGTTTAATTTAGAAAAAATATGGAAGTGATAGATAGGAGGACATCATTATTTGTTTCTATTAATACTACTTCACGAAGGTATACCGTGTGCTTTTATCACACTCTCTCACAACCAAAGAGAGGATGTTCATCTGGTCTTCATCACCCCTCACCCCTTTTTCCTATTACTACAAACTAGCTGGTTCTTTCAGGGTGGGGCATGCCAAGACATTCCTTTCTACTCTTGGGATTGCACCAAAAGAGTCCATGTGCAACAATGAGCCGTTCTGCTCTTGAAGGCGCGCGGCGGCACATTGTACGTAATCTTCCCTGCCACGGGGGGGGGGGTGGGGCTGGCGGGGTGTTCCTCAGGCGAAAGTGATTGGCGGCACAAATTCGCCAGACAGACCTGGGGACAAAAGCAAAGAACACTGCAATTGCGTTAGAACCCGTCCAATTGCATAATATTGGTCAGAGTTGTTGCATAAAAAGGATCTGCACTACCTACTTGTACTTCACGTGGAAAAAATCGTGAACCTTCATTGTGGACAACCGAGCCGGTTTTGATTACTCCTGGTGAGCTGGCCGTACTCAGTGCAGCAATGTCATTGGACCGTTTGCGGATTTATGTCCACCCGCCCTTTCGGACGGACTTTCCAGCTATGCAACAATGGTGTTGTAAGATAGGTGACCCCGCAACTGTGGTTTTCGAGTGGGTTCTTTTCGGACTACGAAGGGCGGCAGCTCAAAACAAGACCCTAAAGAGGCTCAATTTGTGGGGAACCCAGCAAAAGACAATAAGAACAAAAGCAAGAAGGGTGGACCTCGCTGAACAGGGCATTGGTTCGGCAAAGAACAGTTGCCTCTTCAGAAGGCGCTGGAGGTAAGGCGTTGCATTGCCATTCGCAGCATCCAGCAGCACATCTGCGCCCGCCTCAGGGGGGTTGACCCTGAGCCGGGAAGGTTCCCTGCAAGATATCAGCTAATTACCAGTTGGTTTGGAGGTGAAACCGGGTGGTGATCCATATGTCCTCTACAAACACCAGGGGTTCAAACTCCCAAACCGCAAATCTTGGCCCCCGCCAGGTCCATTTCTCAGACATTAGCCCACGCCCCCAGTGGCCATGGGAAGAAGGGCACGTTGATTGTAAAGGCAAACCGCTGCGAGAAAAAGAAAGAAAGAAAGAAACGAAGAAAGACAGAAGGAAAGAAAGACAGAAGGAAAGAAAGAAAGCAAGAAAGAAAGAAAGAAAGAAAGAAAGAGCTAAGGAAAGAACGGGCACCACTGGGTGTCCGGGAGAAAGGGTTTTGATACATGTCACACATTCCAGGCCTCCCAGTGGAAGATCAGCAAAGGTGGGAACACCGGCGGGCCTGGGTGACTCTGAGAGACGAAGTGGGCCCTCAAACCTTCTTGCATGGCCTTTTTGGTTGAAGGGGTGCCCGCTTGCAGTCATTTTAACAAATTTCAACAGGAGACCAATGGGAAACTGCCCTTGGGGCCTTGCGGGGGTTCCCTCAAAAGGCGAGCCAATTGTACAAACACCTGTTCGGGTGCGAAAAGACCATCGCTTCCATTGGGTCAGGGCTCAAAAGCCTTTCCCTTTGTTCTCAGCAAAAAAAAACAAAACAAAAAACAAAAACTGGCCTTTTCCGAACAGCGATGCTTAAAACAGCCGGGGACATCTGGTTGGAACGTCATGACCGGGATTTCGATGAAGCCCCGTTAGCATAGCCGCGGCCAAATTGGACTGGACCGAAACTCTGCAAACTTTAAATTCCCCAAGTTGGGAGTCTTTGCAACTCTCACGATTTCAATGGGTCCAAGATAGGTACAAAGTATCCCGGTCCGCTCAACAATAATCCTTCCAGGGCACTTGGACCCTCTGGGAAAGAATGAGAGGCCACCTGGCCACCTTTGTTTCCGCAACTCACCAGGTGTTCCGTGGCAACCTTCCCCCCGGTTCTCCAGTATGGTTCCCTTCTCTACAAGGGTCAAGCTTGATAACGCTAACTAGACGACATTGACATACAAAGTCACCGCAGGAAAGAAGCAAGAAGCAAAATTTGGAGGCAAAAAGCTGGAATGTTGTCATAGTTTTCAGAGTCTGTTTCAGTGCTACCTACCCGGAAATGCAACAAATATAGCTTTGGAGCAAACCCCAGATTCTGACTTGCCCTCATTGGACCTGGACACAAACCGGCCTGTTTTCTTAGGACTGTACCTGTTCTTGCGGGATTGCACAGGGAAACCGAAACGACAATCAACGTATATATATATATATTGATATTTTGTTAATTTATGATGGTCCTTCTTTTCTTTCTTTTTTTTTGGGGGGGGGGAGGTCCCTAAAAAAGAGACACCCAATTGGTTAAAAGCAATCCTTGCCTTCGCTTGCCTTTTAGCGAATCGACCTGACATGACCTTTTGGAGTTCCCCTGTTTTCTTGGCAACCATTTTTGGGTCAAGGTTCCAAAAAGGTTGACCCTTTACGTCCAGGTCCAGGGCAAAAGTCAGCTTCTGGGGCTCTGTTGGTCCACGTTTAGTCAAGGTTCCCAAAACCGGCCTCGTTATTTTACCTCGATCAAAGTCACCCCTTAAGAGCTGGGTTAAAGGGAAGCAAACCCATTTTCTGACTTTGAGAACCCCCGAGGAAACGTGAACATCATGATCTCTGCAAAAGGGCCTAGCCCCTTTTTGAACCGAACAGCTCCCGGCCGCGGGGCCGCCCTCTGCCGGGAGGGAGGTGCTGTGCAAGCTCAAGGCCTGACCCGAAGCTGGGGCTTCATTGGGAGGTTGTTTTGGGTTGGTGGGAGATGGGTGGTGGAATTGTTCTTGCTTTTTCCGCTTGTTTTATTTTTCATTGGGGGAGGAGGGAGGGGGAGTGTGATCTGTTTTTGTTTTTGTTTTGCGTTTTTTTTTTTTTTTGGGGGGGGGGAGGGAGAGTGACACGTGGGGGGGGGGGGCGGTGGAAAAAAGCAGCTGTCCATCCGTGGGTGTTCTCTAGAAAGAAACAAACATCATGGATTATCAGTCGGAAGCATCACTGCCAACACTTGGTTTTGCTAAAAGGCCGCACGCCCCAAAAGCATGGGCTTTTTGGGCAACAGGGTACTGCGCACGGACCGATGCTAGCTCAAGGGGCCTTCCAAAGCACCCTGGGCAAATTTTCCCCGCGAAGCGGTTCTACTCACATGGTACAAATTTCAGATCGTCACTCCCCAACCCATAGAGCCCTCACGAGCCAGACAAGGTGTTGAAGTGCAACAAAGTGTGATTGCCCTTTCACTTGGTCCTTGACAGCCAAAAGAAAGGCGCCCCACGCGCCTCAAACACACACACACACAGAGAGAGAGAGAGAGACACACAGAGACACAGACACACGCACCCACCCACGCACCCACCCACGCACCCACGCACGTACGCACGCACGCACGCGCGCGCGCGCGCACGCGCGCACGCGCAGACGCGAACACGCGCACACGCGCACACGCGCACACGCGCACACGAGCACATGCGCACGCACACCCACACACACACACAAACACACATGCCCAGGTTGACCGCTGGGAAAATTGTCCAGTGGTCTTCTTTGTAAACACCGACACGGTTGCAGAAACAAGGCAAACAAAACGGCAAAAAAAAGACTTGTTTATAACACACGGCCCACCTAATTAAGGGGCACGACACCTGAATTTCTTTTGGCTTCCCCGAAGCCAACCCGCGACAGGGGTGCAGTTTGAGTAATCCCAGTAGGCTAAAGGAACCGGGGACACAAACACAGGAACACCTTCTGGCAGCGAATTTAAAGGCCCGCTTGAAAAAAAAAGAAGAAGCAATAATGAACTGTCCAACCCTTGGTATGGTAGCAAACAACCTTGTTATTTGCAGCCCAACAATTCAGCGAACCCAGAAATACCCCAAACCCACCCAAAACAAACCAGTCCAACAGGCCGGGGTCTCTATCAGAGGTCGGCCAACCACATCCCGAACCCCCCCCCTGTCAACCGTATCGCTCCGCCATCCGCCTCCCGGGTCTCCGAGGGCAAGAGCTGGCCGTAGAGCATTTGGCCCAGGTCTGAGGCCAGTTGGCTCAGCAAATCCGCGCCGACACCCTCGGACTCACCCCGGATCTGCCACAACGCCCATCCTCGGACGAAGGGGAGCGAGCGGACCGGGCTTGACGAGTCGACTTTTCTTTTTTGCCAGGCACCGCAAACAACATGGCCGCAAGAGGTGAAAAATAATTTGGTGGCCATGGACTAAAAAAACAGCAAAGAGGGAAGCTTCACAAAAGACACACCCAACTTGGGATAGTTTTGGGGGCCAGGGCAAAAAATGACCAAAGTTGGGAAACTGAAAGGTCAAAGATCGAGTCGCTTTGGGCAAGTGAGTATCGAAAATGAGGGCATGGCACCTACGTGGAGTCTCTATGTTGCAGCTTCCCTCTAATTGGTGGTTTGGTAGTTTGGTGATTAACGAGACCCCATTTACCCTCCACAAGAACCAGGGGTTCAAATCCCCAAACCATCAACCCAAACCACCAACTAAGGGTTTCCTGATATGACGCTTTCTAAAAACGGGGTCAGTACCAAACAAAGCATGGTCCCAATGAAGGGTGGAGACTCCAGGTATAAACCGTCCCATTTAGCTTTTTTCTAGCTTTTAAGGGGATCCATGGGAATGACTTCAAGGAAAACTAAAACCCTTTGTGCCCTGGCAACACGTAAAGAATCCCATATTTTTCAATAAGGGCATGAACCCGGCATGCGTTTCATAGAGCGACATGCCCGGCTCGTTGCCCAAGCCTCCTTTTGACATCCATGTGGGTTTGGCTCTAAATAGGTACCCACAATGGAATCCTGGTGAATGGAAACCAGGACTGGATTGAGGTTGACCCATACCCATGTCATCTTGGGGATAGGCCGAAAAGCTGAAACCCTGGCCCAAAGCCTCCATTTGCTTGAGACCATTGGGAAAAATAAAAATGTTTCCAGTAGTGATAGGCCCCCAGACCCCGACATCGGGCCATCCACCCCGTCACACGCCACGGCTCCGCAGTAGCCGCCCAGCGACAGCTTCAGCGTCTGCGGTATCCGCCAGCGCGGCTTTCTCCTTAGCTTCCGGAAACTTCACCGGCTGGGCATGGGTCACAGCCATGTCCTTACATAACTCCTGGTGTCTCCTTGGCTCCCTCTTTCCAACCAATTTGGATACCCCCATCTCTTTGGCTCCCTTCCAACCAGCAAAGCAAACAAATGCTACATTGGGGTTGGCAGAACAAAGCACGTCCATCGCCCGTGCCTTCCTCGGCTAAGACATGCTTGGTCATTTTGCACGAACGCTTTGCATTTTCGAGGCCCTCCAGATTGGAGAGGCTTAGAATAAGTTGGTACCCGACTTTTTCTCCTCGGGAGAGATGGCGCCCAACAAAGTTGCCGGGTCGTCATGAGGGCCCAGCGCTTTCTGTGCCGGACAAGCAGGGTAGCTTCCAAATTCTACGAATTAACCTGGAGCCACGGTTAACAGATGCCCATCTCCCAGCGAATTTCTCATGATTCCTCTACAACTTTTTTTTTTTCTCCGGGGTACGCCGGGTGACTTGGGCACTCACTTGCCCAGACCCTATACCAAACAAATTTCACGCTTTTTTGGGGACCTTTACCAAACAAATGGGCCAAACTGGAAAAAGCAACAAATCCAAAAGGTCGATCGCTTTGAACATTGGCTTACGTTACCGTTTGACCACAAGAAGGGCGTCCCCAGGCCGATAGTGACATAGTCGGGCGAGAGTCGGCTCACATTGCAGGGAGGCCCTGGCAAAGCATGACTTGATTGGATTGGGCTTCGGGCAGTCCTTTCGTGAATATTTGGTTTGGAGCGGATTGTAGTCGGGGTCTTTGTATGTTTACGTTTTTCATGTGTTAGTTTTATCTGGACTTTTCGTGGCTTCAATGAAAGCCCGCGCTAATTAAACTCTAAAATCCTAAAAACCTACAACTGGGATCATCTGTCTCGCCCTTTGTTCTTTTGCAGCTCAGCGTCTTCCCTTCACTCTGCGCTTCCCTGTGAAACTTCACCCGAGTTCTCACCGCCATCAGCAGAAGAATCCCGGGCAGCGCGAGCAGCGCTGAGGCAGCAAGGACGAAGTGCAGCCAGGGCCGCACCATGCGAAAGACCTAAAAATTCAACCACCAGAGGACCGCAGGTTTTAGTCCATGTTTCCATTTACCAGAGTTCCATTTTGGGTATCTATTTTTGACCCACAGCCAAATAGGCAATGTGGGAGGATGGCATCTGTTCTACTTCTTCTGGTTTCCTTTAAACATGCTAAATGGGGAGGCGTCTCCGATTCTAAAACACGGCTCTCTTGTGGTTTCCCGTTGAAACATGCCAGCAAAAAAACGAGGGAGGCAGAAAACACCAGCGTGCCGCCTCCTTGAAACCACGTACCCTTGTCCCTGCCCCCACGCCTGGTCTGCCAGAAAAGAAACGGCCTGGAAACCATTTGGCCCTTCAATCCAAAGATTAATTAACAGATCTTGACACTTCCCAAAAAGGAAAACCCTCGACCGCATGCCTGCCGAAAGGTCTAATAAAAACGGCTTTAGAGCCATGCCCCTTTGAAAGAACAAGAACGAAAGCACGGAACATATTTCGAAGCGACACTCGCTTCCGCCCAGTTGCCTTTCCTCATTCCACAGAACCCAAACAGGTGCACCTTCATGATCACCTTTTGGGGCCCGCTAAAAATGGTTGCCAAAAGAAGTTTTAGACAAGTGAGTTTCCCTTGAGCTCCTCCCCATCGACATCCCACGGGAGGATACGGAAAGCCAAAAAGCCTCGCAACGGTTCGGATAGAACAAGGAATGCCAACGCCCCCCTCACTTCGCGGTTTCGCTTTGCCACAAAAACTCAGTCCAACCCCCAAAAGTAATTGTCAAGTCCAACTCAGGACCTCTCAGCAAAAAAACACGACTCAGGTAATGAGTGCAACCCCCCCAAAAAATCCGAGCCCGGCCCGGGTTTTCGCCCGGAGCCCGGTGGAAGCGCGGAAGCGAGCCGCGTAGGCGGACTCTTGGAGTGCGAAGAGGACCAGCGGCAGCGAGACGCGGGCGCCCCCAGCGCCCACGAAGAGCGCCAAGTCCGCGGCGCTGAGCAGCGCCAGAGACGAGGCGCTGAGGACGTGGCACAGCCTCCCGGCGAGGGAAAGGGGGAAGGGTTGGGGGGGGGCGGGTGAGGGCGGGGGGGGGGTTGGGGGGTTGTGGGGTTATGGGGTTGTGGGGTTAGTAAGTTGGGGGGGTTGGGGGGTGGGGTTGCTGGAAAAGAGGTATTTAGTAACTTTCGATACAGGGCCAGGAGCGAGGGGGAGGGGGTTAGGGTGGGGCCTGGTTTTAGAAATCACTAGAACGAAGAAGATGTTCAAAGAAACCACCGAACAGCAACAAAGGGGGAAAGGAGACAAAGGGGCGCCCCCCTTTGTGGTGATTGAATTGAAAGGGTCTGTGTTCAAGCGTCCTTTCAACGGCACTTGATTTTAGCCTTCAAACGCAAAAGCGCGCACAAAACCACTGCTTTCAGTGTGAGGCAAGGTGTCTTTACAGGAAACTCTTTGCTGGTATCCGAAAAACGGGCGCGGCAAATCCCCACGGTCAAAACCCCGTACCCCCAGTGAACATCACAATCCCCACTAAAATAGACTAAAATGATCTAAAATGGGTGGTGCGCCTACCCCTTGAGCCCGGGCACTTGGTGTATTGAGGCTTTGGCAACTTCGGCTTTGGGGATCGAAACGTTCAGAAGCCACTCATTCAATAGGGGGGGGAGCTATCCCATTTCAGAATGGATGCGTAGCACCTTCCCCGAACCTGCCAGGTGAAGGAAAAAGAACGGTTTCGACAGGACTAGTCATCACTATAGTGATCACTATAGGGCTGTGCTTTCCAGAGGGATCCATGCTTGTGACATGTCATTTGTTTTGGCTCGCCTGCCCAAAGCACCTGGAAATAAAATGTTAACCAGACCTGGACCCAAGCAGGGCCAACAAGGGAAATCCAAAAAATAAAAGCGGCTTCTTTGGACAACTGATGGGACAGAGAAAATACACACCGCTCATCCATCACAGATTTGTAGCTTGACGAATACAAATCCATCAAACACCTTCAACAACAAGCAACCAAGCTGGACACAGAACCATGCACGCACGGTTCTGCATTTGCCCAAGCAAAAACCGAAGAGCAATTCACCGGCGATAGCCTGGGAGCCAAGTGGCCACTCCGTTTTGGGAACAGACTCTGACCAGCGCACCAAGTCTTCCTCTAAGGGGCCACTCTTGGCTTCCATGTGGGTGGCCGAAATCCTGCACCACTTTGCAACCATGACTGAAACCACGATATGTTGGCATTTACATGCCAACTACGGGGGGAATCCTCAGAAACCAGGGTTTCTTCGCTGCGAAGTGGCGAACATCGCAACCACCCACAGTGGGCGGAGGACAAAAAAAGCCACGGGACCCGCTTCGACCGCGTTGACCGCGGCTTCGCGCCTGGCGGCGCGGCTCCTGAGGAAGCTGGCTGGCTGGGACTGCGAAAGAAATCGAGGTGAATTGGCCCAAAGAAGGTAACCCAACTCAGGGAATTCAGGTGAAACAGACAGATCTCAGCATGATGTTTCTCTTTTTTTGCTGTTTCACATGGTCCGAGGTTGGGGTCGACAGAGCCATGATGGACACTTGTTGTTTTTTCCGCCACATTCTTCAAGGAAATGGGCCAACTCTTTGGGGGCCCCAAATGGTTACCCGAACAAAAACACCTCCCTGTAAACCCCCCCCCCCCAAACTTTTCAAGCAAAAGAAACACATCTGAAGGTCCAGTCCAGGAACTCAGGAAGTGAGACTACTTGTTGGTGCCATGACCCTTGGTTCCTCCTTTGGTTGGATTAATCATTTGTACAGGATCCCCGATTCCACCCAAACGCAAGGAGATTTGGAGCTGATGCTACGGAGCAAGTTCTGTTGTCTCATTTGAGTGCCTTGGCCAAACAAATGCTATGTGTTCCTTGATGTTTACCACAAGCTTGGCTCGGACTCCAAACTTTGCTCCTTGCCACTAACATGGTCCAAACCCAAAAAATCACCAAAGCCCATGAATTCAGGGAGTCAGAAGCAGGGAGGTCTTTAGCCCAATGTCACCGTTACCAAAGGATCGACATAGCAAAGCAAATCCACTTGAAGAGGAAACGTGCGAATGCCCGAGAGAAGTGAACCAGATTCTCTGAAATGGCACAAATTACCCTTTCTTCCATCGGGGTTGTGTTTTATTCTGGGGTCAACTGGCCCCATGTTGCCTTACCAAATGCAGGCTGTTCAGAAGGAATTGTGTTCACCATCCCACCCCGAAGCCTCACCTCGAACTCTATCAAGGCTGAATGTGCCCATGAACTGATGGCCAGGGGTTATTCTGGGTGACAGTGCGCCTTTTGCGGGAAACCCTGGACACCTTTCTTTTACATTGGCTCCTCTATCCCAAGAGACTCCGCCCAAGAAATGCGTAGAGTAAAACAATCAGGCATTCCTTTCATTCGGGTATGGATCAAAAACAATGCCACCCAACCGCGGGTTTTTGTCCTTGTTCCCATTTGCGAGGGTGCCATGTTGGGTGCCGATTTTTGACCCACACCCGATTGGGTGCTAAGCCGGAACCATCCATCCCCTTGCGGACGCCAAGCTCCGGGCCAAAAAGTCCAAGCGTCCCGCACAGCTGCGACACCGCGTCCAAGCCCAAGTCCAACACCAGCAGCGCTAGGGTCAAGGAAAGAAGCGCTTCCTCAGTTCATCGGAACTGGATTGGTGATACTGACTAGTGGGTAGCACTCCCTCAGACTAACATGGAAGCTCCCAGAAGGCCTCCGTAAATGGAACTAAGTCTTCCAAAGGGGTCCGTTCGGGAGCTTCCATGTTCTGGGGGAAGTTGCTTTATCCCAGTAGTTATTGAAAAATTTCACCCATGCCAAGTGGTGCAGAATCCGTCCACCAACAGTCTCTCGACTTTCGTTGCATGCGAAATATGGCGTTGCCTGGCCGCATTTGACATGAATGTCCTTCTCTTGGCATTGTCCGAACTTATTTGACTTGTCTTGCATTATGAAATGTTCTTCGTCAACGTCCTGCCTTGCAAACTATGTTGCACTGGTCAGCCAGTGGTTGTCTCAGTCTGCGTGGTCTTAGTTCTCATTAGTTGCCATGTTCCTGCAACATCTGGCCTTGTTTAACATAAGTTTCCTTATATCGCGTTCTCGTCTAGTTGGCAACATTTGCTGCACTAAATTTGCACCTTTTGACATTCTCTATGTTCTCGCGGAGCCAGAGTGCATTTTCCGGCCGAATCTGGCACTTTGTGGCCCACGGAGATGTGCTTTGCCCGAATTTCCTCACTTATGGGGCTTCTCTTGGACATTTGTTCACCCAACTTTCCTGCCGTCGGCAAAGGGCGAGCATGTTGCAGTTCAACAAAGGTTGAGGCATTGGGTTCAAGGGTTGCATGTAAGCCTTTTACACCTACACTTGCCACTGTTCAGACTATACCCTTTCTCATGTTGGCGTATTACGCATAAGTGGACAGCTTGGCCTGAACCGGCAGAAGGCGTATTCGAGGTAGTGCTTTTCCCGCACCAAGCCTGTTTCTTGCAGTTTAAAAGGAAGCGAACAGGAACCCCATCTTTTTTTTGGGTGGGTGTCCCCTACAAAAAAAGACACACCCTAGTTGGCTCCTCAAGGAACTTGCGCCTGAGGGCCCGGCAATGATCTGACCGCGCTCGCCTGCGATCTTTCGCATCGCAGAAGCCATCTACAGTGTTCGTTCTGCGCGCCCTTTAAAACATCGCAAGAGACAACTTCTCATTCAAATTGCCAATCAAAAGCTGATGCTTGAATCACAAAGGGAAATTCATGGAACCGTAACTTCCAAAACAAAAACAGAGCACACCTGACTTGCCATAGTAGGCGTCAGCTAAAGGGCACAGGAAACTATTAAAATGCTGGATGAACTCCACTCCAGCATGCTGGTTGAGTAGATTGTCCAAACAAGTGAACAGCTCTCTTCCCTAGGAACTTGGAAAGTGAGGTAAGGTCCTGGTGTCACGGGGATTTTCAAGTTTGTCAACTACCTTTCGCCCTCGCTGTCTGAGCCTGGTGTTCCCGGGTGATATGTTTCAACGCCCAACTGGAAGCAACTGACGAAAGACCAATGGCCCTGAACTCCCAAAACTCTGAAAAAAGTTTGTTGAACAGGCTCCTTAGAGGCTTCTGACAACCTGTTGAGGTATTGCATGAATACGCGCGGATATCTCTCCTATGGTCCTCGGTCGGAGTCAGTCAGGGCCTGGCAACTGGTTGCTTGGACACATCCATTTGTTCATATGCTGTTGTTGCAAAATGACCTCGCGAAAGCACTGAGAGGCTGTCCACCACCCACCCCGCCGACAACGAACCCCAACACAAAACACGTGGAACTTCCCTTAGGATTAAATATCTTGAGAAACATCTAGAAACACAAATCAGCGACCTGCCGAAGGAGGTGGCTGATTTCACAGTTGCCGCCAGACAAACAGGCTTGTTCAAATTAGGGGGGTCCGCAATCCTAATTCGATATCTGTAGTGGGATTCTACGACAACAAGGGAAACCAATGCTGTTTGGCATGAGTAAAGGTTTGAGTTTGAACACCCCAGCCACGCCCCCCCCCAAGCGCCATTGTGGAAGAAGGAGAAGCCGCCAGTAGTGACCCACCAGTAACCGAAGCCATCCTCGGTTGAGGAGACTGCGCTGCACATTGAGCCGACGGCATCTTTCAAACGTAGCTACGTGCAAAAAGTTAACTGTTTGCCATGAAAAGGGAGAATCAAGTAAACCCAAAAGCGGGAAAACCGAAAAGGGTAGTTGGGTGCCGCAAGCTCAGGAAACCAAAGGCCAAACACACCAGGGAAATGTCCAACAGGAGGTTTAGAAGGGGTTCTTGCGACGCTAACTGGTCTCCACATGCCAACACTTTCCGCTCACCAGCGATATTACTTCTTAACACACTCCCACCTGCAGGTGTCACATGAACAGGGGTCAAAGTTACTTGGGCTGTAAGAGACGTTGACTGCTAGCACTGCTTGAAGCTGGGGTCACGTTGGACCTCCGCATTTGGCGCACGCCCTCAAAAAGGCCCCCGTAAACCGGTCAATTTTCCCATGCCACGTACGCCGCCCGCTCCCCGTTGCTTGCCGTGCTTCGTTCAGCCAGCGGGACCATGCCACCTTGCCCAGCTCGCTGGTTGCCACCTCGGCCGCCGAGCTTGGTCGATCCCAGTCTGGGTGGAAACTTCGGGGGAACGCTCTGAAGCACAAATGACAAAGCGCCGTCTTCTTGAACACGTATCTTTCGCGAGCCGTTCGCGACTCCGTGGCAGTGACCTTTACTAGCCACACGCGCCTTACAAGGCGTTTGCAATCGTCAGTCCAAACCTCTAATCTAAAGGACATCTAGCTCGAAAAAAGCCAGCACAGGTGTAGCACTTTGGCAGCGCCGGCTCGAAGGCCGTAACTTGTCAGCGCAAGTGTGCATAATAATAGTAAAGGAAGTATACAAAATAAACCCTTACGTCCTGCTGCATGCCGATATGTGCCAAGCTTGGAAGAAGGCCTTCGCGAATTCTGCACCCGGCGGTCCCTTGGTACGGGGGAACCCGCTCATTCCCTCTGGTCGGGTCTTAACACATCTCTGAAAGGGCACGGGAACGTTTGCTTTTGACTTCTCGACCTTTTTGTGGCGGGGGGAAGAGGCAACCAAACCTGTCGTGCCCGGTGGCCACCAAGGACACCTCGTGGCACAAACATTCTTATGAACTGTTCTTCCATTTGCTTTTTGGCCCCTGGAAAAAATATAAATTATGTCCAGTCGTGAAACAAACAAGGGAAAATAGACAATAGTCTTAAGCATATGGAAGTATTTGGTTTGAGCAGTCCAGTGTACTTCAGGGCACGTATAACTCAGGTGCCCAAAGGACCCAGAAATAAAAGGCTAACCTTTTTGGGGCCATGACTAATAATGAACCAAAAAGGGGAAACCAAAAGGTCAAAAGGTTGGCTTTGGGCAAGTGAGATAAACATCCAAGAAAGGAGAACCGGTTCTCTTGCCGAAATCACAACCAAGACGCAGTGCCAGCAATGAGGCCCTGCCAGCACCAGCGCCAATCCGCCTGAGACGAAAGGGCATGCATTGCCGAAGCACGGAGTGGGAATCGGTGGGAACCAATAAATCCTGCCAGACAAGTTAATATATACATGTATGCATTCATATACCGTGCATGCATGTTTCTATACATCGCAGCTGTTTACTACACTATACTACACTCATCCTATAAACTAAAATTATGTATATTATGTATTCTATACAATTCAGCAAAGCCTCGGGGGAACTCCTCAATCGGACTTTGCACCCCAAAGCCAATGCTGGGCAAGCCCTGTCCAGATCCAAGCAAAGCGCGCCCGAAGGACTAGCCATAGAGCAGCTCAAATGACATGAGAATGCGGGGGGGGGGGAAGGGGACTGGGGGATGTGTCTGGGTGTGGCTCAAAATTAAAGAGAGAGAGTCACTCAGGTTTTAGTCTTTTTGAGCCAGATCAGTTGCAACTGGCAACAAAGCATTGTTTCTATCCACCCTCAAGTGACCTAAACTCAGCAGAACGCCCAATGACTCCACACACACACACACATCCACTTGCATCCACACCCCATGCAAGGGCACCTCCTTGGCATCATCCGGCATCACACCGCGCCTTTTCGCGCAGTTTGCCGCCCCTTGCCTTCAAATCAAGGTGCCTGTATGCTTCGGTGAGGGAGGAAAAAAAAACATGTCCTGCGAAGAGGCTGAAAGGAACCTTTGTGCGCTCGGAAAACCTGACGATGGCTGTGGCCCAACCTCCCAGTGCCCTCCAACGGGGCGGAGATCAATCTCCTTCTGAGCCGATACGCCGAGACGAGATCTGGCGGACGAATCCGGCGGGCCCCGCAACTTCGTAGCACACCCCGGGCAAAGCCCCTCCCCGTGACACCCTGGCCAAAGCCCCTCCCCGTGTTTCCCTAACAAGACCCCAAAACCTGAAGGCGTCGTTCAGCCCTTTCTTCGGCCTCTCCCAGTACTATATTGCCAACTGAGCAAAGGGAAGACCTAGCGTCGCCTGTTCTTGGATGATCAAAACTGATGTCATGCTCAATGTGCAGCACCTGAAGGGTTGTCAGCACCTGCTTCTTCCGAGTTTTCCCTTGAGCCCTACCCCGCTGGCCCTTTCACGGCCCGAGTTTCACCCATTTTCACCCTACCCCGGTGAAACTAAGAAGCCATGGATCGAAGGGTCCCAAAACTTTGAATGCCGTGGCTTCCAGCACGGTACCCCAGACCTTCAGCTCCCTTCTCTTAGTAAATCTGTTGCAAACCGGTGAACCCCCCTTGAGCCTAGACACAGGAGACATGTGGGGGGGGTAGCCGAGCACTGAAGGCATTGAGTGGAATTCAGTGGTTTCCATTGGTCTCTTCAATTTGTTTCGTGTTCAGCCTAACCCTAGATGCACGCTTGATCCGGCTGCCCAAGCTGCTGAGACAAAGGGTCCCCAAAATGGGGGCTTGACCTTCTTTCAGTGGGAAACCCACCGAAACGCTGCGCCATGGGACCTGAAAGTATGTCCCGTACGGTGGACCTGAGTGTCGATTGGAAGTGGGTAGTTGGGTGGATCTTTAGCTGGATCTTGTGTGCAGTGTACACCAAGACATGTTGAGGGAGTCTCTCTTAAACACTCTTAGCCACATGTCTTGGCCAAACGACTTTGCCAAGAGGACCCGGTGCCCCGTGTAGCCATCACATTCACGCTGAAAAGGTCCCACTCGTCTCCATAAACCTGCATGGCAAAGGACCTCCCACTCCCATGATTAAGCTGCTCACCAAAAAAATCCCTTCCATGTTTGCTTCCATGGCTACCTGGAACATGCAAATGTATCCAATCTCCACTACAACTTAAACCGCCCTTGCATTTGCCTTCTCAGCTTCGAGCTTAGCCGGATGACATTTTCAAACATTTAGCCCCCTGTTAGACCCGGTTCGCGGATGTTCTGGCACCTCTTGCCAAAAGAAAATCCGGGTGCCAGGAGGACTTTAAAAACACCTGTAGAAAGGAAAATGAACACAACCGCGGATCGAGCCTAACAAACAACGCAAACCTCCCCCAACCAAAACGAAGGGCAGTCTCTGTTTGGATGCTTCCTTGTTTGTGGGTTTAATTGGAGGAAAGCCAAAAGGAACACCACTTTTCTTATTTTCGTGGGGGGGGACCCTTTAAACAAAAATGCACCCAAATTCTCGGCTGCTTTCTGCTCCCCTAAAAGCTTCGCTTTTTGTGGTTTAATGGGAACCCATGAGTTGGCAAAAAGCTAAAGTCGTAACATCCCTTGACAACATGCACCAAGGAAATCTTGGCGATTGAGCCAAACAAATGTAGATCTTCGGCCCAAGCCCCGGCCTGCCGCCTCTTCACGCGCCTAGGAATTTCTGAATTCCGCGTCACGCGTGGTGCGACCGCCGGGCGACCCTCAAACTGACACGAGGTACAAACGAGCGAAAGCCATGATAAAGGTGATTTACTTGGGGATCCCTTCATTGAGGGTTTGGACATGTTGTAAATGTTGCAGATGTGTAACATGGAAAATCGCCCAGTTTACATCCCTTGCTTTGAGGGTAGTATTTAAAGGGTGTTTCAAAGGGTAATTACTATCTGGGCCCAGGTGTGTTATCACTTCTTGATTCTTTCGAGCTTGTCGCAACAAAGCGCCATCTGCAGAGGATGTGTTGTTTTCTCAGGGGGCAGGTCGTCCAAGCATGGATGACACACGTTGGAAGCGCTTGACCCCCGCCCCCCGCGGAGGGTGGCCCGTTTCAGAGAGAATAATGCACGGAGGCTTTCCGGAGTATGACTCACTTTTCGGGCGACCTCACACCAATTCTGTGGATATTGCATGTTGAGGCAAATCGGCGAGATTCAAAAACTGTCAATCCCAAGAGTGTTGTGGCGAACCTCCCAAGCAGCGACCCCCTTCACGGATGAGGACAATCATCCTGAGTCATGCCAAGCGCGGAGGGCGAGCTGGTGGATATTAGACTGGTTCGACCTTAAGGACTTCCTAAACAGCAAAAGGGAACTACCGAAAGAGGTTCGAGGCCTGGAGCAAACAAGTACCAATCCCCTTGTGGCCCCCTTTTCCTGTCATGAAAGTTCAAGGGGCGGTTTTTCGTGATGATGTAGTCTTCCACCCCCCCCTTTACTTTCATGATTGTTGGAAAGAGGGTATGGCCCTCCGGAAAAATCGAATCTAGCATCATCTTCTGGCAAACTTAGTTCTGTAGCCTACCCATTGGTACCCGTGTTTATCATTGTTGGGGTCCCCTAAAAAAAGACACACCCATTTGCTGTTTGCTACTCACATGGTCCAGACCCCGAAAAGTACAAGCACACCTTTATTCAGAAGCCTCGGAGTGTGTGACCAGCGCCGTTCCCAACAAGCACCACCGCGTGTCCTTTATTTTCCCTTGAAACATCACCCTAACAAGTCTCACCAAAACAGGCAAACTCGGTGATGTTTAAGACTACCAAAAAGGGAATTGCTTTGTTGGTTGCCCTTTATACCCCCGCAGAAGGTGGTACAAGGACCCGGGGAAAGACACAAAGAAGTGACCACCGGCTCAGGGCGAAGCTCGCATGCGCCATGACGTTCACGCTGCGCATGCATGTGACAGCTCTAGGGCCGAACCGCCCGTTCTGCAAAAAGAAGACCTACCTGTCTGATTCCCTTCAAGTGAGACCATTTGGAGGAACAAGTCCTCAAAATTACTTTTGGCGGATTTGTGTCCCTTGGAAGCACCGTCTTAGAGTGCGTGTCAGAGCGTGCGTCCGTTTTTGAGGATGCTCCTTTTGGCCTTACTTTGACAAATGAATAACAAAACTGAAAGAGACACCAACAATTGAGCGACCAACTGAGTGGCTCAAAACTGAAGAGAACCGCACAAACTCGCCCAAGATCTCGTGACTCATGCCAAGCATCGGGGTGTGTTAAAGCGCTGAAACTAAGGCACCCATCTGCTGATGTTACTGGTTATCGTAATTCAAAAAAAGCTAAATTCAGGAATCCCCAAGTAAAGGATCTTTATCAATGGTGAGCTCGTTAATTATACCCCCGAATCGGTGAGCTCGCTATGGAATGTGCTCAAACCCTGGACGTTGGCGATCGAGCCAAAAGCAAGTTGCGGACACGCGTCCGTCTAGCAAACCGCCCTCAAGGATCCAATGATATTAAGGGTCATTGGTCTTCCGGCCGTTGAAAAGGTCCTTGATTCATGACACCACAAAGCCATTGCCATGGAAAAACATATGCATAAGGGAGCGCTATCTGGATATGCCAGCTGCTTACATGACAAACAGGCCTGGAGAGAGGGTGTTCAAATTGGCTCCCCCTAACCGAACATGTTACATGAACCAAAAAGTCATCGATCTTCCACCTTCGTGCGCTGCTCGTTTCCCTCCGAAAAGGGTCGAGGTTTGATTCAGGTTTCGTGGTTGTTTTTCTCCGGGATCTGTTTTGTTGTCCATGCACTCTTTTTTTGCACAAGCGCGTTGGGAAGATAATTGGATTGGCGCGGGTTTAGTGTTGGTATAGGGTTTGCTTAGGGCTTGTTTAGGGTTGGTTTAAGGTTTCTATAGGGATTCGCTAGGGCGGAATTGGTTTAGTGTGGGATTAGTGGGGCTCTGAGGTTTGGTTTAGGGTTACCTTTGAGGTCGACCTGCAAAGCCGAACAAGCCCCATGAAGAAGCCGGGGGGGGGGGGGGCGCGGGCGCAGCCCAGACAGAAGAACGCAAATGTGGACACTAATGGAGAAAGCGTGCGATTCCAAACATGCTGCTTTTGCGATGTTGGAGTTGCTGGTGATGCTGGGGCAAAAGCCACGAAAGCCACGAAAACTCGCAAACCACAACAACAGCCAACAGCTAGCCCAGAGGAAAACAAACAAAAACAATCCCGGAATCCCAGACAAAATAAAAAGCAAAAGCAAACCTGAAACTTGCCCTCCCGAAGCAAATGCCAACGAGACCTGATCCGCACGGGGTCCCTGAAACCTGCCCTTGGCAGTGCCCTCAGGCCCAAGCCACTTGTTTTCTTTACCAGCCGCCCAAGGCGGGCCGGATTCAACTAACATGCATGGCCTGCCTTGTTTGACAGACCAGTGGAAAGCCAGCTCGCGCCACTTCAGAAGAACAAATTGACTGAATTGGGGTTGACAAGCACTGTAAACATGCTGACCATCAGAGAATGGTGGATCCAGGGGACCGTCCATTTCAGAGGGAACCGGCCCGAGGTTGTTGACAATTCCTGGACACTTGCAGCCAAGCAGGGCTGACAAAAAGCAGTGAGGATTTTCACCCATTCGCCTATTGACCCTGGCAGATTCTATGACTGGGAAAACAGTTGACCACTTTTCATGGGGGCCCTTCTGTTGCGCCCTGTGGGGCGCGATGCTCGCTTCCAGCCGCTACCGGAGATGATTTGCACCCTTGGGTGCGAGATTGCCATGCATTGCCCTAAAGACTGACAGACTCAGGCCCCACACAGGCTGACTGTTTGCTGGTGAAAGGCTACACCCGTCAAAAACGAAACGGCCCACGAATCCGAAATCAGGACCGCACACTTGGATCAAACCTTTGTGACTATCGCATGCCGATGAGTCC